GAAAATTATTTTTTAGAAATGAATAATTTATTTACTTGTTATAAAGATTAAAATTCAGTACAATGAATGAATGAAAAATTCATTCCTATCGAATTTGTACAAAGGTGGCATGATATAGAAGATTCTATGACTCAATCAGATGTATTATCATGAACTTTTTAATCATTGCTGATGTCTCATTCTATCAAAATGTAAGAAATATACTGAGTTTGTTGGTGCAACAAGATCATTGAGTCAACCACAGACTGACATCTTTAGCTTAAGATAATTGAACACACCAACGACACAGTAGTGATCGTGGAAAACATCTACGATACCGAGCTCCGGTATGACAAAGTGAAAAATTTCGAATTTGGTAAAGTTCCCTGTTCCAATTTTCTTGAAACCACCAAGCTCTACTGTTTATAAGAAAAGTTTCATTTAGGATTTTTTTATAACTCATAACGGTCTATCTTATGTACAGAATTCGAATTCAGAAACAATTTATTACTTAAAATGACGGATATTATTATATTTCTAGAGTCGACATGTTGCTTGAAATTCTGTTAATATAATTCTTTCTTCTGACAATTTCATTCGCATGTAATATTAATTATGTAAATGAGTAATTATCTAAAGAATAAAATTTAATTTATATGTTTATTGAAAATACAAAATAATTTAATCTTTGAAAAAACTATATTCACAAAAAAAACCAACATTTAGAAAACAAAAGCCATTTTATTAACACAAAACATATTAAATTCAATCTGTTTTCGACCATCAACTGCTGACTTGCATTTATTTTCTAATTTCTAAGTACTCAAACGATAATCTATCAATTTTTCAACTCTCTGAAATTTTATAAATTTTTTTCTTTTAGAAAATGCTATAGATACCAACGTCACTACTGTTTTGTTTCATAAATTATTGTTCGTTTCTTCATGAAGTAAAAAAAACAAAGAAAAGTACAGTTTGTTGACATTTGAATGACTAACATATTATTAAAAAGCAAAAGAAAAAAAAAGAAGACAAAACATACATTTTTAAAATGACGACAACCTTGTATTTATTCAACTTCATTCTGATTTTTTTCTTTATAATTCAATTAATATCTAGTTCTTCTACACAACAACGAATCTATTGTATTATTAAAACTTTTGGTGAAAATTTAGCAACACGAGCATTAACTATTCATCAAACATGGGCACGTCGTTGTAATAAACATATATTTTTAACAGCAACTAATCTTACAAAATGGAATAATATATCATTACCTATTTTAAATTTATATGATGTTAGTGATAATTATATTGAATTAAGTATTAAAGTATTTGATGCACTTAATCTTATAATTCAACAATCACAACCATATGATTTTGATTGGTTATTTATAGCTGATGATGATACATATGTTATTATGGAAAATTTACATCAATTACTTTATCATACTAGAAAACCATTAGCATTTGGACATTTATTTACACCAAAAAATGGTGCACCTAGTCATTTAAGTGGTGGTGCTGGTTATGCAATAAATACAGTTGCACTTCAACGAATGTTACCTAATTTACAAACAAGTTGTTCACAATGGTATGTACCTGGAATGGAAGATGTTTATGTAAGTCGATGTTTACAATATTTAAATGTATCTTTAAATGGTGCTATTGATGATTATCATCATCGTTTTTATCCATTAGATTTTCTTACTATGTATAAAATGGATGTTCCAAAATGGTTTTTAGATTATAATACATTAAAATCTTATCAAGGTTTTAATTGTTGTTCATTACAATCGATTAGTTTTCATTATATGACTAGAGAATGGATGAATTTTATTGAATGGGCACGTTATTTACATGACAATGAATAAAAGAAAAAACAAAAATACTTTTTGTTCAATATTTTTATTAGATGAGTTTTTATTCTAAGAAATTAATATTTGTTGTATATATTCATCTTTAAAATACATTGCTAAAAATTATCATTTATTAATCGAATTATACTTTTTTTTTCGGAATATAGTTCGTCTTTGGAAAACACGGTGATTCTTATTAAATTATTTAAAACTTAATAGAACAACTGAGGTGTAAAATTTTGACAATTTTATTTCGTATCTCTACTCTAGTTTTTAGTTATCCTTATTGTAAAGAAAGCCTTGGACTTATTAATCGTTTTTGAATCGAGACTATGTAAATCGAGTGCATTCTAATGAACTATGAATACTCTAAAAAGAGTTCGACACCTAAGCTTTTACTGCAGTGATGCTGTATTTTTTAATTTGAGGCCTTAGTCTTTTTCGAATTTCCACTTAAAACTTTGCACAAAGACAGGTCTTAAAGAGAATAGTTTATTGTGAAAGCTTCAGGTCTTTTGATTTGTTCTTATCTTAAAGTAAGAACACTGAATCTACCCATGATACGTATATGAGCAACGTAAAAAAAGAAACACTTCTATTACATCTATTTAGGACATATCAAAAGTTCTGACCACGAGATTTAAAGGATCTTTTCGGATAAGAAGATCTATTGAGAAATGGAAGACCAAATATCCGATGTTGTAGAGCTTTTTGAGGCGTGTCAAATGGCATAGAGTAAATTCTGTTTGCATAAGACTTTAAAGAAACTAGAGTCAATTTACTCATAGACGACCACATATTCACACTCAAGCATGATAAGTTTCTGAATATTGTGGTCCTTAGTATTAGTCGAAAGTATTTGTAAAATATTTTTTTGTCACATACGATTTTGTAGAGTTGTTGACTGGCTATAATTTCATATACGTAACATCTTCGATCATCTTGTGGATGTGAGTATGTAGTCATCTATCGGTAAATTGACTCTAGGTTCTTTAAAAGCATATGAAAACAAGATTTACTATATATTATTCGACGCACCTCAAAAAGCTATTTGATTTTTCATTTTTCAATAGGTTCTCTTATCCGAAAAGATCCTTTGAATGCCGTGGTCAGAACTTTTGGTGTACCCTAAGTATATCTTATGACAGGAACAACTCAAAAGATCTGAAACTTTTACAATAAATTATTCTCGTTAATGCTTATCTCTGTGTAAAGTTTCGAGTCGAAATTCAAAAATCAGTTTTTCCTGGCGTTTCGAAGGAAATCAAAGTATCAGGTGAAAAAACTTCGTAAGCATGTAACATATCTGCAACCAGAAAAACTCAATGCTCGAACTCATTTCCGGATATACATAGCTCATTAAGGTCTAAATAATGTACATAGTTTTGATTCAAAAGTGATTGATCAATTGGAAGATCTTCCTTGTTGTTCTTATAAATTCTATAAAATTCTAAATATATACAGATAAGTCTCTTCATCGATATCAATGATGATAATAACGAATAAAAACAAGAAAAAAAAAAGAAATCTGAACATTAAATTGAATTTTATCATAATGTTTGTACTACAAAAAATAAAAATATTTTTTTAGAAGAACTTTCCATATAGATAATGCAAAGACAGGTCACGAGCTTGTGACATCAAATAATGAGAAGCACAGCTAAAACAATACTTTTTTTTTAACCTAACAATAGAAACTTTGAGAAAAACGACATCTGATATTAACTTCTTTACACAATGTAATAGCAAATACATGTTTATTATTCATTCAACGAATTAATATTTTATAAATGTCTCACACATTTTATTTTACCGACTAGAAAAAAGCAAATTTCATAAATATATTTGTCTACTAAGAACAAACAAACTAATATATTTAAAATCATCGGAAAATTTCGTATTGATTCATCTTTTGCGTTTGTTTTTTGTGTTTTTCTCGAAAACACTTACACTATTGCATTTACGAGAATAATAAGCACGTGATAAAGAAACAATATGTTTGAATATTTTTCTGTAATACTCTTAGATATTTTTATTGCATACAACGATTAAGCAGAGGGGGGGAGGGGGGGGGGAAGAATAAAAAGAAAAAAACTACTATTTTTGTTCTTCAAGTATTATTTCATAGGTAACACAATCAAATATGTTTTATCGTTTATTTTTCTTTTTTATGATTTTGGATATTTATTCACCAATGTCTATTACTACTATTTTTGTAATCAAAAGTGCTCCGGGTGGGGTCGAGGAGGTGATCCGCATCTTAAACCAATTTGCTTTTTGACCCAACTTTTTATTGCTCGTTTTGCTCACCAATTCTAAAAAAAAACAACGTTCAACTTCCTTCCCAATTCTGGCGACATTGGAGCATCCCTGATTATAATTGTATATTTTTAAGAAAAAATTAACTACTGTAGAATATGATTATTGAATCGTCAGAATATATATTTTAAAGGAATTTTTCTAGGTATTCTTTACTAAGCAATAGAACGGTTAATGCACTATCTTTTACAACTGCGCTATCCCTTTTTGACGACTAAAGTCGCCAACAGTTGGGGATTGACTGTTGGAATTCATTGTAAATTCTATATTACAATAATTGGCCAACAATAAATGAATAGTCAGTACGGCATATAAGATCTCGCTTCATGTAAGTTTGATATTGCCTAAATCAAAATTCCGTCACTCGTCTTGTCCCCCCAGTTGTTGATGCTTTCGTGATGAGAACAATAAAAATTTTGTTTCGTTGCACATGTGATACTATATAAATATTTAATATGTGGCGACATCTATGACGAAAATCTCCGAATCGGCTTCTATTGGATACAGCAACCCAAACTCATGGCCATTATTGATTGGATGAAATGTATTTACGAAGCGATGATGTTCTTTTTCATCACTCTATTTTGCACTTTAAATAAGCACTCACACCGTCATAGTATATCTATATAAAAAAAAATACGAATAGTCTTATATCATACAACATTAATTGTTATATTCATTTGAATAATATAATCATTTATTTTTTAAGATTATTTCGAGTCAACACAACTAAAACATTTGTATTATTCTTTTTTTCTTTTCATTACAATTCCATTTATAGTATAAGTAATTGTAAATGAGTTTTATTGTTGTCGATATGTCTATGTATGTCTTTTGATAGATAATGGATGGAGCAGCTGGTAATCCAGGTAATGGTGGATTTGATCCATGTGAATGCATTGTAAGAATTTAAAAGTTTTGTTTTTTCCTCAAATTTTCTTTTTTGTTCCTCTAATTAATTAGAATATGCTTCAAATGCATCATGAACGTGCTATGAATCGTTTAACTGATATGCTTCGTAATGCACAAACAACATGTACGGATACAGAATGTTTTACTGGTCCATGTAAGAATTGATATTGTGAATATTTTTTTATTCGGAAAATATTCTTTTTATTTAGTACCAGGTCTACCAAATAATGGTGGTGGTGGTGGTGGTAATACAGGAATGACAAATGTATATTTGATGTTAGCTATATGGTTTGCAATTGCTCTATTGCTTTTTCTCTTTCGACCACGTGCTCTTCGAAATAATCGTAATAATCTTGGCAAACCAAGTAATCAAGTAAGAATTGACATGTTTATTTATTTCAAATTTTGTTTTCTTTTTTCCTAGGGCCCACCTCCTAATGGCCAAGATCCACCAGGACCAGAAGTACAATAGATAATTTAATGGTCAATAAAAATGTAATATATATATTTTTTCCAGCATCATTTTGTTTTCTTTTTTTTTCTTTTTTTTGTAAATTTAAATCGACGGGATAAAATATATTTGTTTTATTTGTACACTTAATCTGCGCTTATTTTTTGAATTAACTAAATACTAGAAAATCAAGTACTATAAATTGTATCTATCTATCTATATATAAATATATTCAAATTGCTCATAAACAAGCTTTATTAAAGTGTGATAAAAAAAAAAAGAGATTGACCTAGGGTAAACATGTTGTTTTTTGTTTTTTATGTACATTTATTTATTTATTATTTTCTTTTATGTAATTATTTTATTCTCGTTTACGAACAGTGGGTTGTATGATGAGATTCTACGATCTCTTTTTCTTTTATTCTCAACTAAATAAATTATCATTTAAATGTATATATATATGTGTGTATGATGAATGTAAATAACCATTGAAAGTCAAGGATTTAACAAAAAAACAAAATGATGTTATCGATTTTGCGTAACTATTCTATCTATCATCAAACGCCTTTGAAAAATAACAGTCATCTGTATATGGGGGATGTATACTTATTATCCTGACGTTAGAAAATTTGCGTAGAAGAATAAATGACATGGATGTCTTCCTTCCTTCCTTCTGTTTATAATCGTTTTCAACGAGAGAAGAACTACAAGGAGAAAAAAAGGAAAATATACAATTTTTCCCGATACATACATTATGTTTGGATGTTTTTTTTCTTGCTAACATATCAGGAAAAAAATGTGGAAAATACAATGTATAAATCTGTTTCTTTTCTTCGTATTGATAATTGTTATTTTATGAGTTGTCGCAAGAAAAAAAGAAAAACAAGACAGTCATAGTGACGAAGATTGCCAAGTGCCTACGCCTTTCCAATAACAAACGATATATACGATTCCTTCCTATCTATTTCTCATACATTGCACAGCTTGAATCATATTTAACTTGATCAGAGTAAAACTTCTGTAAGTTTCATTTTTTATTTTCACAGTAGTTTGAAAAGAATAATGAAATCAACAAATAGATCATCGATATTTTTTTAAAAATTATTTTAGTATAAATTTAGATTCATTAGAATTAGAATTTAATCATTCGTAGCTCTTACATTCCATTTCTTTCCTTTCTTGTTTCTTATTATATACATTACTCGATGGTTGTTTATCCCTGGAGTGTTATCCTTTCAATCTAACTCAATAATTGAGTTGATATAGTTCCAATTATCCAGATCATTTGCGCTGTTGATTTCAAAGTACTAAATAAAGGAAATTGTCATAAATTTGAATGGTATGAATATATTTAAAGCTGATTTTTGAATAGATCTATGACAGTTTGCGGTCAAAGAACTAAACTGATATCACTCATCGAGTTCTTTTCAAAAGAACTTGTACTTATAATTAGTTCTTTTTTTTTTTGACAAGAGTAACAAGTACTGAATAGAATTACTATTACATTATTCTTATCAGTACACCGAGTCCATATAAAAAGAACTGGTTACTGGATTCAGTTGTTAGAATTGTAAAATATCATAGATCTATTTTGTGAATATTCTTCTAATAAATGTTAATATTCTTTAGTTTAAATAAATACAACAATGAGTGGCAGAAATGGTAAGGAAAAACAAAACAAATTAAAAATTTTTTTGTTTTTTGTTTTCTAAAATTTTTTTTTTCTTCTGTAAATTTAGTTCGAGGTATGACTAAAAAATAATTGTTTAAATTATTTAAAAATTTTTATAATTAATATCAAGGAGGTGCTCATGCTGCTGGCGGTTCAAAAGCAGCTTTTGCTACGTTTCAACAAAAAGATGTAGCTGCTGGTGGAACAGGAAAAGTCACTAGGTAATTATTTTAATAGAAAATCATATAAGTTTATATTATAAAAATAAATCTATAGTGAAACTGCTAGTGCACCAACAAATCCATCAAGTATCAAAGAACGTCTTCTTAATTGGTGTCAACAAACTACGAAAGGTTATAAAGTAAGTTAGTTCGTTTTTTTTTTTATTATAAACAATCGATGTTTTTTTTTTTCGAATATTTAATAATATAAAGCATGTTAATGTAACAAATTTTTCATCATCTTGGGCTGATGGTATGGCATTTTGTGCTTTAGTTCATCATTATTTACCAAATTCAATAAATTATGATGCACTCAATCCAAAAGATAGACGAAAAAATTTTGAAATAGCATTTAAAGCTGCTGAGTAAGTTAATAATCTTTGTTTTTTTTTCTTTAAAAAATAAAAATATCATTTTCAATAGTGATAATGGTTGCGCACCATTACTTGAAGTCAATGATATGATTGAAATGGGCGATAAACCCGATTGGAAATGTGTATTTACTTATATTCAATCACTTTATAAACATTTTGTTATGATGCCTCAAGCAATTGCAGCTAGAGCAGCAGCAACACAAGCTGATCGTTGATAAAAATAGACAGAAAAAGAAAAACTACATATATACGCACACACATATATATATGAATATTTAATTTTTTTTTCTCATTGTATCTTAATTGATTTATTTTATTTTATTCAATAAAAATCTCTATGATAATATGCAAGCACAAACATTATTCGGTTTGATTTTTTCTAAACGATAATGTTGTTCATATTGTAAATGTTTAATTGCTGTATAAATAACATCACCAATACCAACATTTCCTTTAACACTTATATCAAATATATTAACACCATTTGATTTTAATTTATCAATAGATTCTTGACTAACAACACGTTCGGATTCAAGATCAATTTTATTTCCTATAATTATAATTGGTATTGATATTAATTGATTAGGAAATTTTAAACGAATTTTTTCTTGAAAATAATTTAATTTAGAAAAACTTTTTTGATCTGTTATAGAAAACATTATAAAACATGCTGTTGGAATTGTATCAGAAAATTTTAATTTTTGAATATCATATATTGTTGATATATCAAAAAATATTAAAGTAAAATCATTACCATCAATTACAGTTTGATATATAGTTGAGCCATCTGTATTAATATGAGAACGACTATGAAAAGGAAATTCATTTCGAATATAACGTGCAATAAGAGAAGTTTTTCCTACTCCTGTATCACCAATGACTAAAATACTATAAACAAAAAAAAACAGAAAAACAACACATGATTATCTGTATGAGTGTATTATATACATACCGATATTCTGATGGATGTTGTATTTGACGTTTTGGCATAGTGTTATATATATATATAAATTTGTTATTACTTCTTCTTTTGTCTATCGACAAAGAAATGTGACGAGTTGTGTTTTTTTTCTCGTTTTTTTTTTAGAGATGTGTAACGAAATATTGAATATTTACTCAACAAGAATGTGACGAAAAAGAACACTTAAGTAACTCGACAACGTAAAAAAATTAACAAAGAAATGTCTATTTTTTTTTCCTTGTTATTGATCCTAAATAAATAAAAAAAAAAAAGAAAAAACTTTTGAAATTTTATTACAATAACTATTGGTAAATTAGAAATATTTATTGATTTAAAAAACGAACAAAGAAAAAAAAACTTAATATTCATGTAATCTACATATCATCAAACGACTCATATTATCTCATATATGTTATTTTATCGTGAAAGATAACACATTTCTAATTTAGAATTTAGATACAACAATGAAATTTTAAAAATTAAGATAAATTAGAAATTAATACAAAAAAAATCTAAAGATTGAATTTTAGTATCAAGATATCTGTAGAAGATAATTATTTGTAATGAATAATGATTGAAACAAAACATCGAGACATATAACAGAACTAAGGTACTGGCATGTCGATATTTGAGCAAAAACTTTTTTTTCTTATATTTATCATTGATTTTATCTTCTCAAAATATATTATTCTAAGTTTCTAGAAAGGCTGAATGTAGAAAAACGACAATTGAATGCATTAGAAAGTAAAACAACTTAACGATCAATCCGAATATGAGAAGGACTATCAACAGATCTAATAGCCTCCAATGGGGTATTTTCTAAAGACATCAACTCTTCATAAACTGGCATATATATATATATGCCAGAAAAACAATGCATGTATTTTTGGATAAGTTCCTTCTTTTCTTGAGAAAATTGCATTCCTTTCGATATCACTGGCAAAAGCATATTAAACCTGTTAAATTTGTGCTTGTATTCAGCAGTTATTAGAATTCAATCTCAATTTGAGAGCAAAACAAATAGTATATTCAGCCATAACACAAAAAAAACTACACTCGACACAGATGTATTTTGACAAAATGAACTGTTTACCCAAAGCCAGCCTGTACTTCTCCTCAGTAGTTATTTTGCGAAATTTTGCACATAGATCCCCTAACATCGATTCTGCGTAAAATATATCTGTACCGATGTGGTTTCTTGGCGTTAATTCTAAGTATACTATTTGTTTTATTCTCAAACGAAGATATGATAACAAAAACTGCTAAATACGAGCACAACAGTTTTGTATGATTTTGCCAGTGATTGTAAGAAAATATTCAATTGTCTCAAGAACAGAAGAAGTTTATCCAAAACTTATGCCTAACTTCTTTAGCATATATATGTCGATTACAAGTTAATATAAAGAATCATTCAAAAACGTGCCTATGAAGAGTTTATATCTTTGGAGGATACCAGATCTATTAATAGTCCTATGTACTATCAATGATAAATACAAGAAGATAGCACACTATATCAGCCATATTTAAAAAAAATAATAATATTACTTTAAAGTCATTTCCGGAGGAGTACTGTTTTCGAAGTTTTCTTTTATTAAAACTGCTTTGATGATATTAAAAGTAATATTTTTATAGATAAATCAATGAGCTCTATCAAATCATGTCAAAATAAACATTTTATAGATATGCCATTTTTCTCTGATAAAACTTGTTGGGAATAAATTTACTTTCTCTTATCAAAATAATCAAATAGTATTGATTCAAGAATTATTTTTATCCTTTGATTTCAAATTCAG